AAGCTGTAAGCTAATGATAGTTATATAAGAGCAGATGCTGCTGGTGCAATAAGCTGTACGTCCAATGGATGATGATCTGATTAGTCGACTAATCGCAAACATAATCGGTGACTAGTCGACTATCAAAATAATCGTTTGTGGCAGCCCTAGTAACAAAGTGGACATTTCTCTGAAACGAGCTGGCGCTCATTAAGCAGAATGGCTTTTAAAACCATAACTGTAAATTGCATCCATCTGTTTTAAAATCTGTGAGCATAAAAAAGAGCCGCCCTCCATTAACACTCGTGTAGTATAAGAAAAAAACGAATTTCAAATGATTGTTGGTCTATGGAGCGTTTCATACCTACACATCAAACCTACGTATGTTTGAAACTCTGTCTTTGTCCTCAGAACTCTCCATACTTCTGTCTGAAATAAATTCTCCAACTTGACGTTCTTCAGAAGAGTGAAGCGGCTGCTCTCACTGGAGAATATTTACATTATAATTCAGACGTATTACACATGTACTGAAAAACCACAATAACTCCAAAAACCCTTCTGCATAAGTCTATTTCTTCAGGATCACGGTGCTCCAGCCGGGCCACGGGCTTGTGCTAGTCATCAACTGCCTACTCAGAGTAAGACATACGGTACCACGTGGTTACAGGAGGCAGGAAATCAAACTAACTCACCTTCATGTTGCCTAGCCGTCTGGCTCGGTCAATCACGAGAAACTTCTTTATGAGGTCTCTGAGGAGACAAAGGAAAAGTCAGTGAATCCACAGCTTCACAGTATAGTTGTACAGCACTGTCTCTGTGGGACACAACCACTCATGTCTTTCCAGCACTGTCACAATGACAAATATCTCCTCATTAAAGGGTGACTGACGGCCTATTACAGGTGACAAAGTGAGGTGTGTCCATCTGACAATCTCCAACTGAAGCAACTGAGAACATTTTTCAGCAACACCTTCATCAGACTATAAATCAGAACATAAACATCCACAGGTTTTCTCTCACAGGTGGCTGTAGCTCAGGAGGTAGAGCAGGTCACCTACTGATCGGAAGGTTGGAGGTTCGATCCCAGGCTCCTCCAGTCTGCAGGCCAAGTATCCTTGGACAAGATACCAACCCCAAGCTGCTCTCCGATGCATCCATCGGAGTGTGAGTGTGTGTGAGTGTGGTTAGAAAGCACTCAGTATAGCGGTGGTGTGACCGGGTGAATGTGGCGTGTTGCATAGAGCGCTTTGAGCACTCCGGGAGAGTAGAGAAGCGCTCTATAAGAATCAGTCCATTTAAAGCGCGATACCTGCCGATGAACAGAAAGCTAACATATCTCAGATCCAACCATCTGCTAGCAGGCTGATAATTACGACAGCTGGATGCTGACAAGTCGACTATTTCTCATTTGTGACTGAGTCACACTGTGTCTGAACTGTGGGAATGACACTTAACAAAGAAATATTTTGATTTAATGGGAATACTTATGGCATCATGGACTTCCAAAAGGAAAACAATTAAAGACACTTTAGACTGTTTCTGCGTTTCCATGTAAGCATTCACACAGACAATGGCTGTTCAAAGTCACTCCAAGAGGACGTTTTACAGGAAAACGTCAAAACAGCGGAACCCCGACTGACGAAATTAATTCGTTCCCGAGGGTCTTTCGTAAGTCGAAGCACCCATCGCGCCTTTTGAGTGAACGATAGGCTATAGGCTAATAGCTAACAGCGAAGCGCAAGTACGAAAGCCAAGGGGTTGTCACATGATTCGGAAGGCATTGTAGGCATTGTGGGCTCAGCCAATCAGAGCCAGCGGATTTCGTAACACGGGCAGAAATATTGCCGTTCAGCGCCTTCGTAACTTGAATTTTTCGTAAGTCGGGGTTCCACTGTATATCCAAGAATTCATGTAGTTAGAACGAACTTTAATAGGAACTGTGAGCGAAGACACTGAGGTAGAGGAGAATCCTTCAGGTCCGATCAATGAGCTCCTAACAAGTCCTAAGGTAGCAGCTCATAATACTCGTTTCCTCTTGTGCTGGGACATTTCTCCAGTCTGTCTGCTTGTCTACATTCAACAGCAGCTGCTGGAGAGGCGGCGGGTGTCCCTCTGTGCGGCCTGTCACAGTTTGATGGATGGGACACTGTGGTGTGGACTGTGTAAGAAAGATATTCATAATTGTGGGAATATTAAAAATCCCTTCCTCTGTTGGCTGCTAGATAGATGGCTTAAGAGTGGGAAGCTGTGACTTTGCTGAATTATCAGTGGAAGCTGTGACCTCTCCACAGTCACTGCATTAGAACTTAGTGACACACACTCCCACCCAGAGTGCCTGTAATCATTCCTGCTCCTCAGGCTGTTGTGATGGGTGTTGTGCACTGGGTGGGGAACCAGTCTAAAAAGGCCAGGTGTGTCATCAGTGACTGCAGATCCACCCAAAGTGCCTCTTTAACCACAGGGACCCTCAGGAAACGGCCCCAACAGCCGTTTGAAGTTTTACACCGAGTCATGTTAGTGTGTCAGTCAGCCTCAGTTGGGATACGACTGGCCACATCCTGCAAACAGGTCCACCTGCAGGCCTTTTTTGAGCAGCTGTACCACCATCATGCATCTGCATATCCAATAAGTACTGAAGTACATATTGGGGTGGTTGTGGGTCAGGAGGTGGAGGAGGTGGCCTTCTAATCAGAGCGGGTGTGAGTCGACCTGTGGCAGCTCCAGTCTGCATGCCAAAGGGAAGGATGCTAACCCGGGGTTGCTCCCGATGCGTTCACTGGAGCACGACTGTGTATGACAATTCCTAAGGTACACACAACGAGTCAACATGTTTCTATGTTACAATAAAGTTTAAAGACATTTCTAAAGTTGAAATGAAACGAGCCTCCTGAGCGATGAACTCTTCTGCTCCAGGAGTCACAGCGTTTGATGGGTTTACTGTCAGCAATCACAACCTACTCCAGTTTCTAGTGTTTCATAAATTACAATTGTTTCCACAATGTCTGTGTTCTTAGCAAAGTCTCACTGTACAGATGTTTTCCACTGTAAACACATTCATGCAGGGTTTCTTTCTGCTTTCACTCTGACAGAAGCATCAACCTTCCAACAGGATGGCCTGTTCTACCTAAATAACATTCACAGCCACTCCTGTGGTTAACGATAAAGACCAACATTGGCAGACCGATTGCTGGGTTGTGTGTCTGATCCCCTGCATGATGCCCACATCTTACTTGACATAGAAATCCAGATGACGTGGGAATTCCAGTTTTGCAGCCAGAATCTTCTGATAGATTCCAAATGGATTGTCATCAAAGAAAGGTGGATACCTGTGGAAAGACAGAAACGTCAGCCCAGCCTGCTCATGTGAAGCTACAGACACACACTGACACACAATCACAATTCAGGATCATGATGCAAGGAACAGGTAACAGAGGCAGGAGCTAAAAGGCTCGCGCTCACCCGAGTCAACCTATGAACGAACATGTGAGCGGTCACCATTGTGGTGCAGACAGTGCAGTCTTTGTCCACAGCTGATGATTGTGTGTGTGTCTGTGTGTGTACGCGCCCTCTACCATCCATCCACTGAATGCTTTCCCAGCTCTCAATTCTTCTTTTGGCCTGGACAAGTCATCACCCACAAATTACATAATGGCAGCTGCCTCTAAAGACATTGCACACGGAGCAGCGAGGCACATAATAACAGTTTGTCACACCCTGCTTGTGTTCCCAGTGAAACGTTGCAGCCATAAAACGGTTGGATGTGGGGCCTGTGGGAGCTGCAGTTCCTCTGAAACTGATGCTGTCACAGCTGAGGAATTTAGGTCAGATCGAGAATGCAAGTCATCCACCTCAAAACATCCATTTACCCTGTGTGAAGATCAAGCTTCACACACGACTATGCTGCGCTCCACCGACAAGCTTCTTCAGTTCTAAAGACGTCTTCAAGCAACTTAAAGGAGTCCAGCTGCTTTCTTTCCAAGCTGCTTAGACGACATGACCTGGATGACTGAGGACCTACACAGTTACACACACATATACACAAACTACATATGTGTATGATTTTCTGTAGATTAGTAGAAAGACAATCTTCTCATTAAATATCCTTTTTGTTGTTCATTGGCATTTTGACATAATTTGGCTTTTGAATGAAAAATAAAATTCCCGGCTCGCCCCGGGAGCTTGAGGGTCCTGCACAGTGTCTTAGCTGTTCCCAGGACTGCGCTCTCCTGGACACAGATCTCCGATGTTGTTCCCGGGACCTGCTGGAGCCGCTCGCCTAGTTTGGGAGTCTCTGCACACAGTCCCACAGGATCTTAGCTCGGTCATTCTCCACCACCCTTGGGGGCGTCTCTCATTTTGACCTCGGGACGTCCAGGCTGCATTCGGCACAGATGTTCCTGTACACTATGCCAGCCACTTGGATATGAAGCTCCCTGCACGCCCTGCCTGCTGGCATCTTGCACCCTGCTGTTATGTCTGGAGTAGGGCTGGGTTTTGATGATCGATTTATGGATAACGTGATATCGATTCATCAAAATCCTGAATCGACTTTTAAATACAAATTTATTTTGGCCGAAAGGCCAGAATCTCAGGTGAAACCTCACAAAATTTCAACAACCACCAAACAGCTGAAACAGTGAATGAGAGCAGGAACACGGACTCTGCACAGAGACGTGAACACAAAGCTCGACCCGCCGACGGCTCAGGGTCAGCGAGATGTGACTTTCTCGCCGACGGCACGGACACTGAAAGCTCGCTGATCCTGATGTGTCGGCGGGTCGAGCTTTGTGTTCACGTCTGTTTTTGTGCTGATTCTGAAGCTGCAGGTTTGATCTCTCTCCAAACAATATTGACTGAACCAGCAGCCAAAGAAGATCCAAACTACGCTTCACATAAACATCGTCATGGATTCACTCTGACTTTTGCTGTTTTGCTTCCACCACACCACTTCCTGCTTCTCTCTCTCTGCATTATTCACTTGCTCGTTACGCACCAGTCTGAGCACCAGCGCTGTCAGCCGCTGCTTTGTTTTACTTCCGACAACAGAGCCTCATTTCTGCCGTTCAACACTAATCAAATTAAAACTTCTTAAAATTATGCAAAACGCCGTGTCTGTAATCAACCCTGTAACTCTGCTTCACCTCAGCAGCATCAGGTCATGTTCACATGTTGATTCATGGTTTTCTTTCGTTTTCGTTCTACTGCAGAATATTTTTAAGGTTGTCTGCTTTACAAAGTCAGGCCAGAAAAATCTGCTTCATGTTTTTCTGTTTTATCCTCAGTTACTTTGATCGGCTGTGATGCTCACACCTGTGATGAAGTCTCACAAGCGTCAGCTTTGTTTTGATATATAAAAATATGGATGTGTGCTGTGATCAGGATTACAATATTTCTGGCTGTCTGAGGCAAAATTTCCCGATTCAAATCGATTCTACAAATCAGTGATGACACCCAGCACCATGCTGGACTGTCTCAGGGGCATCTTTACACACCTGGGGTCTTGCCTGGTGTATAGACCCCAGCCTCTATGGATCTTGTACTCAGAGCTTGTTCCTGTGCTGCCATGATTAGTGCTCTGTGCTGTCTTTCAGTCCAGCTTTGTCCAGCCTCTGGTAGGATTCTGGATGGCAGCCACCTCCTCTAGCTGCTGTTCCATGATGGTTCCTCCTCTTCCTCGGGTCTCTGCTGCCTGAGGTACTCCCTAAGCATGCCGTCATGTTTGGCCATCTTCCTGATGTACTCGCAGATGTTCGTTGTCTCATCCTGGACCGTGCTGCTGACGCTCTCCAGTCCCCGGCCTCCTTCCTTCCACTTAGCCTACAGCCTCAGGCTGCTGGACGTGGGGGGAAAGCTTTCCTGGCAGCCTCTTCATGGTTAATGTACACATTACTTTAAATTTGAATATTAGCGCTGCAAAATGGAGCCTCTGCTGATTGCAAGGGAACGTTACAATAAAGAAGAATTCTCCAGAAACCAGTTGCATCCACAAAGCTAACCAATGTGAGGAGATCATGGGCTTTTCTAAAGTAAGATCCTGTCCTTGTAAAATGCCCTCGAATGAGATTTTATGTCAGCTTCATGAAACAGCCTCAGGGGAACCTCTGAGGTGTTCATTCAATTACTAGAAAGCCTGAAGAATCACTAAATGATCATGCATCGTAGGCTTGTTCCAGCATTTTCAAATCAGATTGTATTGACGGCTGCAGTGTGGAGGAACTGGAGTCCAGACCAGCAAGTGTCCCCTCCAGCAGCTCCATGTAACCACCAGGCTGATGCTCTGCTGAGCTGAGGTGGAAAATCAGGTAGTGCAGAAAAGTAAGTTGTAGAAGAAATAAGGTTTCATATACACGGCCACATGTACTGCAACTGCAAATACAAAAAGGGTACTGGTTTCCATTAAGGACAGGAATATGGGCCCAGAAGTAAAATTATAAGGGAGACTTTCCCCCTCATCCTTGACTTGATGTTTTTCCTACACAAGCTTTGGCCCAAAGCAGGATGATCTACTGATGCTGAGTTCTCAAAAACAGCTGCTGCATTCTTTGGTGGAGACGTGTGACAAACAGCTTCACGGCGATGCTGAATGAAGAGTCTTTGTCCAACTGTGGAAGTGTCCCTCTGCTGGGAGCAGCACAGCCTTTTCCCACATACACCAACACTTCAACGCCTGCTCACACTCATACTTGGAAAAAGGTCACATTCCTTCCACCAATTCAAAGCCATGGAGCTTTTCCCAGCAAAACACAGAACCAGGCTCACAGAAAGGTGGCATTTCAGTGCAAGTGGAGGAGGGCGCTCCACGGGGTTCGGCGTGATTGATGTAAGAGCGTTATGTAGTCTGCACAGGTGTCAGTGGCACATCAATATGAAACTCTGTGAAAGCTTTTTTCCTTTCAGACTGGAATGTGTCCGAGTCACTGCTTCGTGTGTCCCTCCAGACAGACGGTCTGAAGATTTTGCACTGAGACACAGAGTCCACAGTTTAACTCTTTCTTCCATCCTCAGGCAGTTTGTGTTAAGCCCCGCCCCCCGTCACTGAGGGACATTTCAGTTAAGATCCTCTTTCCTCCGTTTTGCTTAGTTGCAGAACAGAAAGTGATGCAGTGCACAAACAGACGACTCTGAGGAAGCCTAAATCCACAGAAACACTGTGGGAAGTTCTCACCGATGCTAAACCAGCTACTCGCCAGTTGGCTTGAAAACCTGTTTTTCTGTCTTCACTCATTTTGTGGTAAAGTACTCCTGCCATTACTTTCAAAGGGTCTCTGGCATGTTGTAGTGCTTCCACCCTTTGCACAGTGCTGTACATAATGCAACATGCACTGTGCAGTGAAATCATTGCTGGATTAATGTCTCTGAAACAAGCCAATCACAGCCTTCAGCACTGCTGGAATGCCACAGACGAATGGAAATCCTTATTGTTTGTGAGCACATGAGAACAAACAGAGGTGCTTTCTATAAGGATCAGTGCTGTTGTTCTTCCTGTGCTACAATGAGGCCCATTCACAGATTAATTTGTCCCAGCTCTACAGCCTCTAATAATGACAAGATTTCCCAGCACGAGACAATAACAGCAGTAATGCAGGTCTCTCCTGGAAATGAGATTTTTACCTGTAAAAACAAAGGACTAAAAAGTCAAAGTACGATTAACTGAACAATCCTTCTGCTCCATGAACACAAACCACTGCAGTGGTCTGCTCTCTCCGTGCTGCTTTATGTCTACCCAAAAGCTTATTTCAGGCATGTGAGGGAGACCTCGTGGTTGTCAGTGTGTACCTGCCTTATTGTGTGTATCTGCAGATATTTCTCTGAGCTGTCAGACTGTAGATTTCAGCACGTCTCCCTCCACATATCAGCCGTGGCCTTGGGCCTGACTTTAACCTCCTAAGACCCAAAAGCTTCCACAGGATACATTTTGAATCTCTTTGATATTTGGGCTGATTGGGTCCTGATGAATGTAAAAACAAAGAATCACCAGATTTTTTTCTACCTTATTTTTGTTTCTAAGAAAAATGAGAGCCACATATGAAGATGTTCGTTTAAAATGTTGATAGAGCAGTAGCAGCATAACGTCCTCGTCAGTGGACATCAGGCCCTTGTAGAGCAAAAGTGAGTATTTTGGTCTAAATAACCCAAAATGTGATGCCCACATATGTGGACGCAGGTCCTAGGAGGTTAAAGGTCAAACAGGTTCGACTCTGACTGCCTTTTACAAAATGAAGGAGTGCAGATTTACCCCAGTCGGTCTAATGGAGGAGAGTGCCCTCTAGTGTTTACAGCAGGTGTAGCGATGTTTACCATAGACTGCACCACTTACCCAGCCAGCATTTCAAAGATGAGGATGCCCAGAGCCCACCAGTCCACTGCCCGGCCGTGACCTTTGCTTTGGATGACTTCAGGGGCCAGATACTCAGGAGTCCCACACAGAGTCCAGGTCCTGATTGCCAGAGAGGACATCAAATATTTATTCCATCTCCTGCTTCTTCAATCCAAACCTACTTGTGTGACAGCTGAGTTATTATGAATAACAGGTTTCATTGTAATTTTCTTTCTGTCAAAGTTATTGATTCTTTCCATATAACTAGCAGAGTAAAAACAGCTTTGGTGTGAAATGGCTTCATGTTCAGATCATAAATGAATGTTTTTAATTCATCCAGTGGCTAAACTGGCCACAGAAGACCAACGTGAGCCTTTTTATGATGAAGGATTTCAGGTGATTCTAACATCCTTCTCAGTTGTATTTGCATCACCATGATGCTTCTGCAGTTGGTCCAGAGACAAGATGCAAACACAAACAGTTCTGTGATCCCGTTATCATTTCTTGTTGTAACCTTTACGTTCCACACTTGCATTCTGGCCCAGCTGTGTCATCTTCAGTATTACCATGAGGATGTGGGGCCTCAGTGTGGACGTGGAAGAGTAATGGATCGATGTCTGCCTGGGTGTAATGTGGGCGGGCATAGGGCTGTTTGCTACAACCGTATATATCTGATGACGATATAAAAACCTCCATCGTTTCATTTTACGCTGTCGTTTGTTTCGTGGTGTCGCAAAATAAACTGTTTACGTTAATATTTGTTCATGTTCTGATGTCACTGTAGTGGCTGTGTTCATTTCTTAACGTTCTCTCTTTCTCTTATATTTAATATCACCACACTACGGACGCCTGTTTTTATGCGTCGTCGTTAGCAACAACGACGGTAACAGCATCGCGTGTCCGCTTGTTTATGTTCCACATAAACCTTTCACAATAAAGCTCAAGATCCTGTTGAGACTTTTCAAAATAAACTGAATCACGTGACAGATGCAGATTATTTACAGATGAGAAGTAAAAAAGACGCCAGGTGCTAAAAAACAAAGCTCAGACTCAAACGTTAGAACAGGCTTCTCCCCGCAGCACGCCGTGTAATAAATACTCACAAAGAAAACGGCGCCGTTACAACTTCTGTCTAAAAACGTATCGTTTCAGCATCGATTAAAACTCCAGCTACACGACGCGCAGCAGGAAACACTTCACGCAAGTCGAGCTGCCCGAGATTCACAGACTCTACAGGAAATGTGACATTTGTGTGATTTACATCGTTATCGGACGATAGAGGTCTGATATCAGGACATGAAGTCTTGGTCATATCGCACAGCCAGCAGTGAAATCAAATACTGAGCAACAAATGAAGGAGGTGCGAACAATAACGGGAAGCAGCTTTAGAGATGCTGTCTGTGTGCACTGCCTTACACTTAATGCAATATGCTGCTTTAGTCAACTATAGTCACATTTGTAAACCTCCTTTCAGTTGGGACACACGATAATGTTACCTTCAGAACAACTTACGCCCGTTCTAGGGTGGACACAGTCTGAGACACAGGCTCAATCGTGTCGACCAGAACTTTTCAAAATAAGTGAAATGACAATTTGTGAGGTGAAAGAATAAACATGCACAACACTGTTTCAGTCTCTCCACAAAGAAGAAGTCCACCAAAGGATCCCATACTTAGAGGAGCCTTGGAAGATCGTCCTGACTCCACACAGCTAAACAAGCACGCTGGTGAGAGCTGCTTTTGATGCATACAAACTCTCCTGTTATTGTGCAGACGCACATGATCACATGCTCCAAATCCCAGAGTGGAGAACAGATTTATAGACTGTCACGTTAATATAGTGGCAGCCATGTTTAGAGAGACAGCAATCCTGTCAAATGCTACCATTCATGTCCATAAATGCTTTACAACGTCCACAGTGTGCGAATGGAAAACACACAAAGCTTCCATTAAATGCATGTACCGACCGAGAGGTGGGACACAGCCTGGACAGGTTGCCAGACTAACACAGACACACTCACACCTACACACAGTTTAACCCCTCCACCTGCATGTGTTTAGACTGGCAGGAAGTCGCAGTAACCTGGAGAGAACCCACTGGGAGAAAATCATCAGTGAATATGGGCAACAGAGGCATTTATAACTGCTGCTGTTGACCCCGCCCACATGTTTAATTGTCTCTCCCTCTCCGTCCTCAGAATTTACAGACCAATAAAAGGCTTAAACTGATCTGTATTCAGACTGGATACAGCTGGTGCTGGACACACACCCACACTCTGCTCTCACCTGGATCTGAAGCTGTGCTGTGAAGCATGAAGCGCAGAACAGGAACACAAATCTGTAACTAAACTAATAAAGGACATCAGCTGCTTTGCAGCAACTGGTGACACACCAGCAGACTAATGGAACCAAGAAAAACCAGCCGACACTATTAGTCACAGCATCGCTCCTGCACATTTCAGTCAGGCGTGTTTTAAATGTGCATCACCTCTGCATCATCTTTCTGCCACAGCAACCGAAGTCTTACTTAGTCTATTACTGACAAAGCAGCCACGCCAGTGTGTGAGCGCACTGCAGCAACACTGGGCAGGTTTCATCCTCCGACACAGAACATTAGAGGACAACATCAGAAGATAAGACTGAAACACATCATCATCACTACAGCTGTTTGTCGAGGTGCTGTGATGAAATGACTCGACCGAACTCGCCTGTGATGGAAGTCTAGAGCAGATTACTTACATGAGGCTGTGCATGCTCCTGTGTAGCTGATTGACACTCTCTGCATGTGCCACACACACGCACACACGCACACACGCACGCACCACACACACCACACATACACACGCACACACACACACGCACACGCACACACGCACACCACACGCACACATATCTTGTGGGGACACCTAATTGACATAATGC